TTCGGCCGGAGGTGAGTGTGGAATAATGTAGGAGTTAAATTTTTGTTGACACAGTTGATAGTTGAGAAAAATGGAAAAGATTTTAAATGGCTATAACTTGGATTATTGCTGTAACCATTAGTTATACCTGTGAAGAAAGGTTATGGCTAGCATCCATTTTAACTCGATGAACTTTTTGATTAATTGGATAACTTGAATTAAGTTGAATTAGTAACTATTTTGATTCATTTGAGATATATGATAGATTATATTAAAGCATATGTGTTCTGTTATTCTTTTATTTGAAACATTAGTATTTATAGATTATTTTCTGAGATGTTGTTTATGTATTCATTTGTAAGTTAAATATTTGTGTATTTAGGCATCAGCTAACAATGAAATGATCTATTTTTCACTGAGGAACAGGACGGAATTTTTTTTAATGTTAACAGCTACGCACGAAACGTGAAAATCGCAATCATTTTTATTGAACATACAGTGTGTCTAATAAGTTCTGATCTCTTTTATGTTTTGCGCTTTTCTTACGTGTTTTTCGATAGAATGGGCTGATATTTACAGCATACATACTAGACAACTAAATCTACTTTATGCTAGAGTTTGAACCTTATAGCTGTTGTAATCAGAAAGATACAAGTGATGAAATATTCAATAGGAATTTTTTGATTTTTTTGACAAACAGCACGGATGAAACAATTATAATTATCTGATCGATCTCTCTTAACGAGTGAGATTTTTCCTCTGTGTATTACTTTTGCATTCTGCCATGTGTCCACGTGTATATTGACGGAGAAAAACTGTACTATCTCTTTTTTTCTGGCGGTCGTAACGTGCAGAAACAACAAAATTTGTGAACGAGTTACATGACCAGCTAAATTGTCTCTCCACGACTAAGTGAATTGATGCATGGTTACCGCTTTCTCTTTTTATTATTTGAACATTTTCAATCAAGTTATTGTGTTTTTTAATTGAAGAAAAATGTCTTATTTACATATCTCGTATGATACAAATTCGTCTGTGATAATTTACTCTTACATCATGCCAAGGATTTCCGAGAAAGAGAAAGAATTTATATCCATTGTGTTAGGTTTAAAAAATCTGAATCCATCATGGCAAGCACCTCAAATTTCTAGATATTTGCAAGAATCAGAAAATCCTCCCTCATTGAAAAAACATCAACTGCTGACGAAAGTTAGAAGAGTATTAAAGAGAAATACAATCAATGATAAATAAAGGTCTGGACGTCCTGTTACAGTGACAACATCAGCTTTCCAATGACAAGTTAAATCATTGATAAGATTAAAGAAAGGCGCTTCTATTAGAAATGTGGCATCCATTTTAAATAAAAAAGGAATCGAATGTTGTCCACAAACGGTACATAATACGGTGCGAAGATTAAAATTGAAATGGTTTAAAACAAAAAAATCCCAAAGATTAACCGATAGTAATAAAATTAGAAGAGTCGCTTGTGCCAAACATTACGAAAAAAATTTGGGACTAAGAAGTCAGGAAAATATTGGGAATGGGATCGAGTTGTTAATACAGATTTTAGTGGTAAATTTACTTTGGAATCATTTCGAAAAAAAAAGAACCACGGTATTTGTGCTGAAGAGTGGGAAATCATACCACCACCTTTACTCAACGCATCTACTGATAAATTTAAAAAAGGCATAATTTTTTGGGGTGCTATTTCATCTCGTGGACTTATTCCAGCTGAAGGTCCAGTTAATTTAACCAAGTGGTTACATCAGCAACAACAACAAAAAAAGAAGGATAGGAGAAAATATCTGACAAGTGATTTGTATGCCAAATTTTTACAGCAAAAATCTGCTCCTGCAATAAAACTAAAATTTAAAAATACTAACTTGGTACCGATTTTTCAAGATGATCAAGATAATAAACATCGAACAAACATTATAATGAATACCGTCGATACTTCATTTGATGAACGTATTGATCCTGAAGTTGGTGATGCGAAATTTGCTGATGTTTGGCCAATTGAAACAGTCTGGGGTGCCATTAAGGAAAAATTGAGAGAAGAAACATTTGAAAATGAATTACAATTAGAAAAACGAGTAGTGAAAGAATGGAAAACGTTCACCGTAACGAAGTGCCAGCAAATGATGGAAAAAATACCGAGTCAATTGAAGCTGGTGATAGATCAAGAAGGAGAGCACATAAATGGACATTAACACACGCTTTCTTCTTATAATGCGTAAAAAAATTTCCATTTGTTAATCTCGATCAAACCACTGTTCTTTATTGTATTTTCATAAAACGGCAGAAGAATCCTCACGAACATATCAAAAAATTCCTATTGAATATTTCATCACTTGTATCTTTCTGATTACAGGAGCTATAAGGTTCAAACTCTAGCATAAAGTAGATCTAGTTGTCTAGTATGTATGCTGTAAATATCAGCCCATTCTATCGAAAAACACGTAAGAAAAGCGCAAAACATAAAAGGGATCAGAACTTATTAGACACCCTGTATATGTACGAATTAAATATGGTTTAGAATAGAAAGCATGCCTTTGAAAGTTTCATGAAAGAGTAAATTGGCCCAACGTCTGCATCGTTGATAAATTTCAACCAAAGTTATAATTGTCAACTATAGTTATAATCTTCGACCTCAGTTGTAATCTTGCATCTAGTTTAAAACCAGTTTAGTTTTAGTCACTAATCAATACAATTTTCAACATTACTCAAGATTTGAGACTAATTGAAACTATTACCCATGCAAATATTTTTTGTATCA